TTTAGGTTTATTAATATGACTAACTAGTGGTTTTAGTTGGGGGTTAGTTATTAGTGAGGGGGGAACGTGGGCTAATGCTGGTACTGAGAGCGTTGAGTTTCCCCCTTAGGGGAGTGGGAACGTTGGGAAGGCGCACCCTCCAGCAAGTGGCCCCCACTGACTCAAGCATTGGCTCCTGTCGCAGTGTTCCTGGTTGGCTCTTGTCTTGGCCAGATCGAGCGTCGCTCGTCGGCTTATTTTTGAGCAAGTTTGTTGCTGTCGTGCAGTCTTCGTACGGACTTCTGAAGCTGCTGCTGCGCTGCTGTTCACCGTGTGTGCTTCCGCCGTCTGCGGGTATCCTTGAATGCTTCTCCGTTGCTTCCGTCTTGATGCGGGTATTCCTGTGGGATGATGCTCTGCTTCTCTGCTGCTGCTGTTGCTCTGCTAGTTCCGCCCTGGTGCGGTATTCGTGCGGCTGTGTCCGCCGTGTGCGGGTCTTCGCGCTGATGTGGCCGCCGTGTGCGGTCTTCTCGATGATGTGTCCGCCGTGTGCGAACTCCTGATGCTGATGCCGCCTTGAGTGGGGTTCTCGCTGATGTGCCGCCGTGTGCGGGCTCCTGCTGCTATGCCGCCGGGGTGCGGGCTCCTCGATGACGTTCCTCTGATGCTTCCGCCTGGGTGCGGGTATTTCCTGTATTCTGCTCCTGTCACGGTACAGGCTCTCTGCTGCTGATGCTTCTCTGCTACGGGTCTCTGTGCTTCCTGGTGCCGCCTTGGTGCGGTCTTCCTGCTCCGTGGTCTCCTTGAGTGCGGCTAGGATTCCTCCAGCGTCAGGTGTACACTCTGCTCTGGCTGGGGAAGTCGCTCGCCCTTCCGCTACTAGTTCTGTTGAAGCAGAAGCTTGATTTCGTCGGAACGGATTGTTTCGCACGGCATTGTCGTCTCGCGGCCCTAACATACTGCTGGTCTGGGTATCTTGCGTCTCGTGATCTGGCTCGTTGCTGGCTGGTGTGGATTCTACGGCTTCGATGGGGTCTGCTGTTGTCGGAGTGAACGCGTTTGTCAAAACCGACGGCGTAGCTAAGTTATAGGTGGGGCTGGGTACTGAAAGAGAAGAGAGAACCTGTAAAACACGGCAGCACTCGTAAGTGCGTATTCCTCTGCGACCACAATCCCAGCAGAAGAGAACTCTGGGATTGCGACATGTGTATGAACGGTGTCCTTCCTGGGCACAATTCCTGCAAGCAAATCTACAATGCGGCACCATCGATATGTTTCCCACTCGAGGACCTAGTTGTGGAACTGCGGCGAGCGTAGGTGGTCGTCTGACTGGTCGCGTGACATTTTGGTAGCTCGTTGATGGTGCTCCTGCATACGCTGGGGTCTCGTAGTCATCTCTTCCTGGTGGTGGCTGCAGTTCGGCCAGCATCCTTGCTTGGTTTCCTGTGGCTCGATCGCGGGTGTCTTCATAGTTTACCACTAAGGCGGTAAGTTGTTCCAAAGTCGTGAACTCGTGTCTCCTTGTAAACAGCTGGTATTCCGGTTGAAGATTTTCGTAGATTCGTTCCAACTCCTGTTCCGCGTTGTATCCTGCTGTGTGCATCATGAGTCGAATGTTTACCAGGTACTGCTTAAATGGCTCTCCTTGTCGTTGGTATCTGTTGCGGATCTCATCGTCGAGTCTCTGAAAGTACCTAGGCGGCAGGAAGAAGTCAAGAAACGCCTTCTTGAAGTTCGTTCCCGATTTTCCTAGTAGCTGGCTCGTCCGGAACCAGTGCTCAGCTGTGTCTGTCAAGAGACCAGGGATGGCCTGCGGCATCTTCTCCACGTCGACTTCATATGTGGTGGCTCGTTCCTCGAAGTGCTGGATAAAGGCAATGGGGTCCGTGGTCCCATCGAAAGTAATTCCCCAATTCTTCAGTTTCTCTACGAGCGTGGCTGCTGACATCTCGGACTTCTTGGTAAAAATGTCCCGTCTGACCGGGTTGGCCTCCATGTCTCCGACTGTAGTGGCGGCACCTCTGCTTTCCTGTGTTGGCATCTGAAGCTGCGTTGGACCCGGTGGGTGTGGATTCGGACCCGGTGTACGTTGTTTACTCTCAGTTAATGCGGCTGTGATTTCCGCCTCGCAGTCCTGCAGTTGTTCGGCTATCTCCAGTACATGATCGTCCCGATTATTAAATGCGGCCAACCGGCTCCTCATTTCCTCGACTGTTCCGGTTGCTTCCAAGGAAAACTCCTTCAAAATCGCCTCCAGTTCTCGCTTCCGCAGATACGAAATCCAACGCGCGCCCATATTGCTGTGAAATAATTAGTCAAATGGCAAACGACAAGAAAAATTTCGATAGGTCGAGAGAAATATTTCAGACGAGGGTCAAGCGACGTTTGAGTTGATTAACTTCAGTGAAATTTTTGATTTTTATTTGCCACACCAAAAAAATCACTAAATGCCCACGTGCAACTAGGTTAAACTCGAATTCGATGTAAAACGGCGATTTAATTCTGCTGCTCTCCTCGACGGGGATTAAATTCAATCGACGACGATGCAAGCTTGTAAAAATTTCCACGATGATGAGTTAAATTATTCGACGGCGATGTAAATTTTATTCGAAAAGTTTATTCCACGATGATCGAGACTTGGTAAAATTTTGTGCGACGTTGACTTTTGATTTCCGTTGAAAAACTGCGACTGTACGTGTTGCCTCGACGACGGTTGAACAAGAAGCGCCCACCGATGCGTTTCTCCTGGCTGTACTCGATCGCTCCTGGTGTGAGGGAGACGACGATGAGAGTGAAGGGCGAAAACAAAATGGCTGCGCTGTGGGAAATTTGTATTAGCTTTTCCCTACCTCGTGCTTTTGAAATTCTCGCGACCTGACTTGGCTACCTAGAGGGCTTTTCGCTCTCGCTCTCTTTTTTTTCCTTCGTTTTCTGGTCGTTCTGACTTAGAAATTTTTCTCTAAGTGGCGGGACCGAAAATTTTTCAAACTTTACGTATCCGAATGGGTCTTTAGGCCATATTTTCGACGTCTAAAATTTGTAAACCCCATGTCCCTGTTCGGGCGCCATTCTGTAAGGAAGTTCGACGGCTGGGGTAGGTCTCAGTCACGTCCAAGGTCCTCTTTATCAGAAAAATTTATAAAGATCTGGGACAAAGTGTTTTGACGGACGGCAAACTGACATGAGATGGTAGTTGTCAGTTACCGGGATACGCAGCCAGAAAAATGGCTGATTCGGTCTCTGCAATAGAGCGAAATAATCGGCGGAGCGCGTTTTGGGTCGAGCCCATAGCAATCGCTATAAGGAGACCGAGAGGGGGTCGATTATGGGGACCACCGCTTCCTAGGGCAGGGTTTATGGCCTAAAATCTAGGCATTTTTGGGGAAATATTCTACGTGAGTCATGGCCAACGTGATCTTGGGTCGTTCCCCGCGAGCTGGACTCGATTTGAGCCGAAAATTATACTTAAGAGAGCTTTTCTTGAATTTATTTAATTTTTCCTCATTTTAAATTTCTCTGCATTTATTTTTCCAGTGTGGGCAGCGTACGGCCTCTCGGAAGTGGCGATCAGTGGTTAGATTTTCCGCGAGAGCAAAAATATATTTAAATAGAATTTTCTTAAATTTCAATATTAAAGTTTGGAGTAAAATTTCTCCCAGTGTAGGCGAAACTCAGCCATTCCCCCGCAAGAACCGAAATGTAAATATGTACGAGTTTATTTTAATTAATTTCAGTTTTCATTGTCTCTTTTATTTAATCGATTTGTATTCTCAGATTTTTTTAGCTTTCATTTGTTTTATTTAATTTGACAAGTTTTCTTCGCAGGGATTTTAGGTTAGGTTTTGGGGTTTATTTCCTAGCCTACTCTAGTGAAAACCGCATCTTGGCCGCCGAGAAATTTCTATTTACACATGTACTCGCTGGCCAGAATGCGGTTCTCCCTATGCACTCACCCGTCTCCGTTTTTCCGCACACACACACGTTCGCCTGTGGCTGATGCTTCCGCCACGTCCTCGCCTCCGTCCGCTTCCAAAAAGGTGCCTCCAAATTCTCCGCACTCCACTGGCTGCCGTCACTATCCCTGGTCACTTCGAGCACCACCTCCTGGCTGGTCTCGGGTTATAACATTGCTCTTGCATTTCGGTGCATCAGCTTCCCTCTCGCTCTCTCCCGTTGGCGCGTGCCAATTTTCGGGGGTTGCTTTGCGCTCGATCGTATGCTCGCTCTCCGTTGCTCTCGTACGGCGCTAACTCCGTGGCCACTTGTTCGTGGTGAATAACTCTCTCTGCTCTCCGAGTGTAGGTGTGTGTGTGTGTGTGTGCGGGATCTAGAGATGTGAGAACGGGGAACCAAAGATAACTACTAATTCTTGACTACGCTTAAATTCTGTACAACTAGAAGATGATTATAGTGCGAAACTTGGCTGCTTAAATATACAGAGCTTATTTTACAAAAACAATAGAAAATGATTATATACAAAGCTTATGTTTACAAAGTGCGAAGTGATTAAAGTATTATACAAAATTATTTACAAGAACTTAGTTTACAAAGCGAGAGTAATTTGGGCGTTTGCCGGTTTGTTTTGATTTCGCTGCTAGTTGCGGCGGCTCTCCATGAGCGTTGGCGGCAGTTGTTATTGCCGTCGGCTACTGTTGTTGTCGCTGCCGGCTCCTGACCGCCGTTGTTGTTGTTTTTGGGCGCTACTGACGCTGTTGATATTCGCTGCTGGCGCTGTGGTTATGGTTCGGCTGACGTTGACTCTGCTGTTGTTGTTGGCTGCGGGAGCTGTTTTTGTTGTCGGCGGCTGGCGCGGTTGCCTTTGTAGTTGGCCGCCCGTATTTGTGGGAAGTCGAACGACTCCTCACAATGATTACCTAAACGATTCAGCCCTGCTAAGTGATTTAGTACCTAAGCTGTCGAGCGATTTGAAGCTAGATTGGGGCAGACATCGTTTGGCAGCAGGCGGCGGAAATTTGCCCGCCTTTGATAATTGGCTATTTGGCGTAGCTATGTGCGCTACGATGGTGACGCCGTATGATTATCAACCAACAGAGAAAGAAAAAGGTGGCAGACACGTGAAGGAACGCCTATTAGTCCACAATACGGTGGAAGGCGATGACAAGAACAATCAGAATCTGCAGGATGTACAAGAATCATCGTGCCCAGGATGTGACGGTGACCATGAACTTGTTAAATGCAAAGTATTTTTGGCCATGTCAATCAGGTCTAGATTTGACATAATCATGGCAAAACGACTATGCTTCTGTTGCTTTGGGAAGCATATTGCTCGGAACTGTAAAGTAAAGAAGACTTGCAATGTCAATGGATGCAAGTTACATCACAATAAGCTTCTACACTTTGAGCGAGTTGTGAACGAGGACGCGATCGAACCAGAGAAGAAAACTAGCGATATAATAACCAGTGAGTCAACTGTTTTCTTCCATGATAAATCGACAAAGAAGGCACTGTTCCGATATATACCGGTAACTTTGCACAATGGATCAAGAGCCGTAGATGTATTGGCCCTCATCGACGAGGGATCATCCTGTACGCTAATGGAGCGCAAGTTAGCTGATGAGCTGGGCTTAGATGGATCAGAAGAGGAGCTCTGTTTGAAGTCGACCGGCGATATGACGCAGACTGAAGCCAAATCCAAGCTCGTCTGTATCAATGTTTCCGCTGCCGGTTGTCTGGATGTAAAATATATGCTGAAAGGAGTGCGCACTGTGAGCAAATTGGATCTGCCATTGCAAAGTATTGATGATCAAATGCTTGATGATCACAATCACCTAAGATCCGTTCCTGTCTCGACGTACTCAAATGCTAGAGCCCAAATGATCATTGGACTGGATCACATTAAGATCTGTGTGCCACTGGAGGTACAAGAAGCTGATAATGACGATCTTATTGCGGTTCGTTGCCAATTGGGATGGTCTGTTTACGGCCAATATGGATTGGAGGAAGCCATGCTGCCACGTGTGCGGCATGTCTGCCAGTGTACGTGCGCTACACGAGCACTCGACGAGGCGGTGAAGGCGCACTTTTCATTGGAAGCTATTGGTGTGAGCGTTCCCTCAAAACCACTGCGATCGAAGGAAGATGAGCTGTCGCTGAAGATTATGAACCGAACTACGAAGTACATTTCCAATGACAGTCGCTGGGAAACTGGATTATTGTGGAGATACGAGAATGTTGAGCTGCCTGATTCCTATCACATGGCTCTTAGACGTCTCAAATGTCTCGAGTCAAAAATGCTTAAGAATCCGGAGCTGAATGAGTTTCTGACTGATACCATGCGGAACTACGAGAAGAAGGGTTACATTCGAAAACTGCAAGAACGAGAGCTGACTCATAACAAATGTTCTTGGTATCTGCCTGTCTTTGTAGTGGAAACCCCCAACAAAAGAAAGAAACGTTTGGTCTGGGACGCCGCAGCACAGGTCGATGGCGTGTCTTTGAACGATACACTTTGAAAAGGACCGGATTTGTTGGTATCATTGATGGGAGTACTGCTGCGCTTCCGCGAGCGACCTGTGGCTGTATCAGGTGACATACGAGAGATGTTTCACCAGATTAAAGTTAGCGTCTCTGATCAATCTTCGCAGAAGATCTTATGTAGAAATGGAGAAATTGATCGTCCGCCGGATACATATGTAATGCAAGTGATGACCTTTGGCGCTTCTTGTTCGCCGTCGCTTGCCAACTTCGTATTGAGGCGCAATGCGGAGCAGTTCGGCGAGAAACATCCCAGCGCGATAAAGGCGTTCTTCCGAAACACGTTTGTTGCCGACTGGCTGGAGTCGGTAGATACGGAAGATCAGATGATTGAACTGGCAACAAATGTGAAAGATATCCACACCAAAGGTGGATTTGAAATGAGGAATTGGCTTTCAAACTCGAAAAGCGTCCTTCAATCCCTGAATAACTCACGGGAGCCTTCACCGAAATATCTTGGCGTGGAGCAAGAACTTCAGGAGAAAGTTTTAGGCATGTGGTGGCTACCGGAATCGGACATGCTAACGTTCGTCATCCGGCCCGAGTTGTTGCAGAGGTCGGCAACTCACACAAAGTCGAGTGTTGAGTATTGTAATGTCCATTTTTGATCCGCTTGGGATACTTGGATTTTTCAACATCCGCGCCAAAATCATCCTGCAAAATATATGGAGATCAGGAGTGAGCTGGGATGACGCCATTAAAGAACCGGATGAGAATGACTGGATGGCATGGAAGGCTTTACTGATCAAACTAGGAGATCTCCGCATCCCACGCTACATGTACTGTTCAAGTTCCGTCAAAGGGGTGCAGTTGCATGTATTTGTCGATGCCAGCCTGGATGCTTATGCTGAAGTAGCATACCTGCGTGTTGAACAAGGCGGCGAGATCCGATGCTCTTTGGTGGCGTCAAAAAATAGAGTAGCTCCATTAAAACCAATATCACTGCCTCGAATGGAATTGATGGCAGCTGTTTTGGGTCTGCGCCTGGCCAAATTTTTGGAATCGGAGCTGTCAACAAAAATTGAGAAGCGTATATTTTGGACTGATGCGCGAGACGTTCTGTACTGGATAAAATCCTACGCCCGTAAGTACCCTCAATTCGTGGGCTTACGTATTGGAGAGATTCTTGAAGGATCTGAGATTGAAGATTGGCGCTGGGTACCTTCGGAACAGAATGTGGCGGACGAAGGGACCAAATGGACCAAGAAAAGCGAAATAAACAGCTCAGGCAGATGGTTTACTGGCCCGGAATTTTTATTGCAAGGCGAGTCGCAGTGGCCATCGCGACCAGGAGTTGACATTAGCAGCGAGTGTGAACTAATGTACCATGATGACAAAACGCGGGTGAACAAGTCACCCATTGATTCGATTATGCCGGATCCGTTGCGTTTCAAAAGACTTGAGCGTATGCGTGCTGCCCAAAAACGAGTACTGGATTTCCTACGCTATATATGCAAGGAACCGCGTGGGCCTGAACTGGTGAGACTATTCAAACTTGAACGCTATGTGGAAATGGATACTGTCTTTATACGAGCATGCCAAGAAGAAGCATTTGCTGATGAAATACGCTGTCTAAAGTAAGGAGACTGCGTAACTAACCGGAAATGTACAATTTTCAAGCTCTCACCATATCTTGATGCAGTTGTAATGCTTCGAATGCAAGGACGGATCGAAGCCATTGAAGATGAGGAGGTGAACGTGAAGCATCCGATTATCCTCCCGTCACGCCACAGAGTAACGTATCTAATAGTGGGATACTATCATCGCAAATATCATCATCTGCACGGAGAGATTGTTGTCAACGAAATTCGGCAATAATATTGGATACCAGGACTGAGAGCGCTTGTGAAGGACATCGTGGAAAACTGTTCGGCTTGCTGCATCAGACGCGCGCAGCCGCTTCCACCAATAATGGGAAATTTACCCAAGGAACGTCTTTCACCGTTCACTCTGCATTTCACGTACACAGGAGTGGACTATTTCGGACCAATGGAAATCGCCGTGGGAAGACGTAGGGAGAAAAGATGGGGAGTATTGTTCACCTGTCTAACAGTTCGTGCTGTCCATTTAGAGATCGTTCCATCTCTATCGACAGACTCATTCCTGCTGGCCCTAAAGTTGTTTACTGCTCGCCGAGGTGTTCCTGTTAAGATGCTGTCAGACAACGGAACTAATTTTCGCGGTGCATGCAGAGTATTGGTGAAAGAGATCGAGCGCATATCAACATTGGAGGTGGAATCAAAGTATCCGGAAATGTCGTTTGCCTTTATTCCACCCGGATCCCCTCACATGGGCGGAGCCTGGGAACGCATGGTGCGTTCTACAAAGTCGATCCTGACAGAAATTCTGGCGCATGCCGGACTGCGAGAAGAGGTACTGCGAGCGGCGCTGGCTGATGTCGAATGTACGTTAAATTCCAGACCTTTAACGTATATTCCGTTTGAATCTGAAAACTCCGAAGCTCTGACTCCAAACCATTTTTGGTCGGTAATTCGAGTGGACTACTCGAACGAGGCACGATGGAGAGCACTGGACTTGGATTGACTAAAAACTTCTGGATAGCTGGCCAATTAGCGGATCGTTTCTGGAAAAGATGGGTTCTAGAGTATCTACCAACACTTACGAGACGGACCAAATGGTTCCAGCCGAACCCAAAACCAATTGCTGTGAACGACGTGGTCATCGTCGTGGATGAGACGAGCAAGCGGAACTCCTGGCCGAAAGGAATCGTTGCTGAGGTACATTGCGGAAAGGATGGGCAAGTATTATTTTGCGAGAATGAGACCGCTATATATATGTAAGCGTCACTTTGTGAATTGAAGAGCGGCAAACCACAAGTGTAAGATCAGAGAAAATGTCAAACTTCTTTATTTTTTAACAAGATTAAATAAAGATTTCAGCGCTGTTGCTATCAGTATACTACAACCAGGCGCTTGTTGTTCGTGGTAAAACCCGGGACCCAGGCGCGTCCCTACAATAGTAATGAAGTTTAAATTTCGGTAATCAATTACTAGACGAAATTTCTTTTTCCCGGAACTGTCATCTTTCTTTGGAATTATTCATATCGGTCTGCAATATGGAGAAGATGATTTCCTAATTATGCCTTGCTTTATCATATCATCTATTTAATTATTTACCTCATCTCTGTAAATATAGGGATATCTATATGGTTTCTTATATACAGGACTCTCATGTTTAGTTTTTATTATATGTTTAATAGTATGTGTTCACGCCAGGAGGCCCTGTTCCCCCTCTGCCCACCGAGCGTCTGAGCGTCCAAAAGCTCAAGCGCTCCCAGCGTAGCAACGCTCGCCCGCTCTCGCCCTCTTGCTCTCCCGCGCTCGCTCTCCCGCAGCGCTAAGCGCTTTCGCACTCTCGAGCGCGGGCCTCGGGCTTCGTTGCCGAACACTCGGATCGTCCGCTGCCGCTCTCTCGCTCTCTCGCTCGCCGTTTGCTGAAGTTTTGGTTTTAGTATTATGTATGCAGCGAAATAAAGCTGATCGACTACGTGTGAATTTCCCTACGACGCCCCCGTTTTTTATTTCGACTTCGCACTACTTCGCTTGCGCCGTGGTAATTTTCCCTCTTCTAAAACTCCACTGGTCTTGAAGGAAGGAAGCGCTGCCCCAACATTTTGGTCCACAGAGCCGGATTTTTTTTGGACTTCGGATTATTTTCAACTTCGCCCCCAGCAGTTCTCGGCGTTTCTCTCCACCAAGATAAGTACGAGCATTCCGCCTCCCCCCCCTCTCTGCCGATCTTCAGCAGTGGTCCGAACATAAATTTCGTTCACTCTGCTGCAAGTTTTTCCGTGTCGACTCAAAGTCGGCAGTTGAGAAATTTCCAGTCCTCCATTCTCGTCGTTTCGTGGAAATTTTAGATCCGCCTCCGCTTTGTGTGTGTCGCCATATTCCTGGCTTTTTTCGATTCTCGGTTCCTCCGTTGCTCTGGTGTACACACACACATACTCGCGCGCCAAATATCGGCATCTCCGCAAAAGTCAAAAGGCAAAGTAAATTTGTGTGGTGAAGAAAAATAAAGGCATAATTAATATTCGGCATCCGGAAAGTAATTGTTTCGGGAGTTCCCTGTTCGCCGAACAGTTCGCCGCTGCCGCGATATTTTTGTTGTGTGCAATTTTTTTCTCCACATAATTTGTGCTATTCCGCCAATCCAAATACAGTCCACTTCTCGAAGCTCCACTGCGAAGCACAAGTCTTACACATACACATATATTTCCATATGCATGCAAGTTATCCAACCCGATATCCCGCCCGCCTTACCCATTTAATAAACAATTTTGTTTATAAACAATTCTTAGCTGGGAACCTTTCAACCAGCCTTCCCATGAGAACTCATTATCTTCCACACTTCAGTGGACAATTGCACCGCAGTCCTTCTTACATAAACAGAAGCTCACAGGAGCTCTTTTTATTAACAGGCCGCCTTACCCATTTCATATACAATTTTGTTTACAAACAATTCTTAGCTGGGAACCGTTTAACCAGCCTTCCTTCTTGTATAAACAGAAGCTCACAGAAGCTCTTTTTAATTAAAGCCGCGCGGTCCTTCCACCATAAACAAAGCTGAGTCCTGCTTATGATAATACAAATATCCGCCGAGCTAAGACATTGAAGATTAATCAGTTTAATTAAATTTCGTAAATCAAGATGACAAATTTCATCACCCAATTGTCCGATTCTCTTGAATCGAACTCTTTAAACAGATCCCTAATTCTCTTAAGCAGAGGTTAGCTGATAGGCAAATTACACTAGCTCAGTCAGTCGGTTTTCAGTCGGTTTCGAGTCGGTTCTTGGCACAGTATTCGGTCCATTCAAAAATAAGTTAATCAGTAAAATAAAAATAAATGTTAAGGATAAGTGTAACAAAGTGAAGTTAAAATAAAAAATAAAAATTAATTTTTTTTTTAATATTTCACAACGATCATATTTAATTGGCGCCCAACGTGGGGCCGCACTAAAAGCAGTTCAAATAAAAAGCTTTAAAATAAATAACAAACAGTTTTAAAGTGAAAAAGAACAAGTGCGGTCTAGTAAAAACCCAAAGGAGGAAATTAATAAATGAAATAATCCCCCTATAAGTTACAACAATCCGCTAATTAATTATTTATATAATAAACCTGCTGTTTAACTAAAAAATTTAAACGGAATACCGAATACTATTTGTGCAACTAAAATTAAAACGGAAGTGCCAAATACAATTTGTTAAGCAACAATTAAAACTGACGTGCTGAATAAAATTGGTTTAACAAAAGTTAAAGCTAAAGTTTCAAAAATATCCTGTTTGATAAAATTTTAACGGGAGTGCCAAATACAACAACAACTATACTACGACAAACATTAATAATAAATGAGCTGAGTACAACCCAGTACATTCACAACCATCATAAAAACTGAAGGAAGAGCTGAGGGCATTCCCTCGCTAAATACTATAAAGAAGGACGACAACAAGAAAAACTACATCAAGAAGGACGACAACAAGAAGAACTACATCAAGAAGGACGACAACAAGAAGGAAGAGTTCAATAAGGCAATCAGTGAGCTGTTTCTAATATATTTAATAATAATTTTAAACATAAATAAATACACATAATAAAACAAGGTGGAAGTAGAAGATTTAATAAACGAATTTAATAGAGTTCTCACAATGTCACAACCACCTCCCGCAACGGCTTCTAGCAGCCAAGGTAACATCAATGTTAGTGATTTAATTACAAAAATTGTACACAATGAATTAAATCCACTAAAGGATGAAATCGTTAGATTGAAATCCCGATTGAATCATAATGTAAAAAAGGTTGAAGATTATCAGATAGAACCACATGAGCCAAGTATTAAATGTGAAACGTCCTTTGAAATTATAAAATCAGTGAGAGAATTCAAGGGTGAAGAAGATAAGTATGTAAGTTGGAGGGAGTCAGCAGAAATTGCCATGGGGCAATATGTTAGGGGAAGCGAACGATATTTTTCAGCATTATCTATTCTAAGGAATAAAATAACCGGAACAGCAAACGATGCCCTAACTCATAATGGAACAGTTCTAAATTTCGATGCCATAATGGCAAGACTAGACTTTGTCTTTAGTGACAAACGTCCAATCCATATTATTGAACAAGACTTAGGAGTACTAAGTCTAGGCAAACTTTCCATAATGGAATATTATGGATTAATAAATAGAAAGTTAACTCTTCTAATCAATAAAACCATTATGACTTATGGCAGGAATAAACCTATAACTGCTGAAATGAACGAAAAACATAGAAAGACGGCATTAAGGGTGTTTATAACTGGCCTCAACGGTCACATTTCAGATGTAATATTCTCAATGAATCCACCCGATTTACCCAATGCCATGGTGATAGTTCAAGAATTAGAGAGCAATAATTTGAGAGCACAATTCGCAAATAATTACTCAACTTCACAGCGAAAGACTAGTGACGCAAATCTGTTTGGTCATCAAAATCCTAATTATAAACCCAAGCAAAACTATAATAACAATCATAATACAAATTTAAGGAATAATAACAACTTCCGATTTTACCAGCAAGATAACCCAAATAA